GCTGGCGGTTCAAACCCACCAGCCACTCCTCGGAAGGAAGGTTGGGCAATCCTACTTCCGTAGTGATACTGCCTCGGAAACCCAAGGAAGGGTCGCTATGAGTCGGGGCCGACTCGACGGCAAATAACAACAACAAATATATATGATGATGATTTGGGAAAAAAAGAAAGTGCTTACATGAGGGGAGATATTCTTAGGGGTGCTGGGGTTCTTTTGTGGTGATAAAAATGTTCTTGAAAAGGGGTGGTAGAACCAGTTACACAGCATGGCAAACATGATTGATGTCATGGAAGTGCCCACTCAAGACTGGTTGAAACAGCAAGATTTCCTGTGACATGTATGTCATTAAATGAAAAAAAAAGTGCCCACCCTGTTTTGGAGGAGCCTGGTGATGCAACAGTTAAGCACTTGGCTACTAGAGGGAAAGTTGGCAGTTCAAAACCACCCAGAATCTCTGCATTTTTCCCCCCTTTTGATCAAAGATTCTTCTGTAGAACTGTCAGTATTGGTAGCCAGGCACCATTAGTTCTTCTGGTCTCATGGCAAAGAAGACGGTTTTTCATGGAGGCAGTTCACCACACGTTCCACATCCTCCCCTGTTCCTGACTCCCTTCCTTCCTCTGTTGCTCCAGGTGAATAGAGACCAATTGTTGTACCTTAAATGGCCAATTGCAAGCTTTTAATTAATTGTTGTGCCTCAGATGGCTTCTAATTTGTTTACAATGCAATTAACTAGGAGGTAGAACAGAGGTACTAAGTCCAATGTTAGGGAAGTTAACTGGGATTCCCATGAAACATGACCCTAAATCTCCAAATCAAGGAACCAGATCCCACAAGGTTTGGGGTTGTACATAAGCAGGTGGAAACAACAACCCAAATGCCCATTTAGATGAGCCATAAATAAAGTGTGGCATCAAAAACACAGTAACGACCACAATTACTGGTTGGATGGAGTCTGGTGGGACCTCCAAGACTATGGCCCTGGGATACACTCCGGGCCTGGGATAAAACTCACTCCCAGGGGCTGGCTCTCAGCCCAACAGTAGTAAGACTTACATGCAGAACACCCAACCCAGGGTGATGCACACACCTACTCTGCGGAGATACAGCCCTTGGAGCAATTGGCCATGGGGCACCAGAGGGGCAACATTCACATGGAGGAAAAGCTGGACAGACAGGAGTGCGAGATTAAGAAGGGCACAGGGATGGGGGGGTGTCACTAGGAAGGGAGAGGAGGAGAGTGGGTTAGGCTTAGGGATGATAATTGGGGAGTGAAACCAAATGTACGTGACCTGTTGAATGTAAAACAAATTCTGCTCTGTAAACTTGCACCCAAAGCACAATAAAATAAAATTAAGTGTGGTACATACATACAATGGGATCCTACTTAGCCAGTAAGAGAAATGAAGTCTTGATACGTGGATGGTGCCTGCCCGCCATTTACTGAACATTTTGGTCAAAGACTCTATAGAAGCATCTTGATCAAAAGGAGAAAAATGCAGAACAGAATTTCAAATTCTCATGGAATCCAGACTTTCCAGATAGAAGCTGGCTGAACCCCTGAAACTATTACCCTGAGATGATCTTTAAACCTTAAACCAGAAATTTCGCCTGAAGTCATCTAAAGACAAGACAATAGTCTAACTTAATTAAAAAAATACCTGCCTTGAGCATGATGCTCCTTTAAGGACCATCTCTATGGGATCAAGATGACAACAGTTCAAAACATTGGACAGGAACCTTAGGGGCAGCAACCTGACATCACAGGGGAGGAGCAACGTGGAAAAAGATGAGAATGGTTGCCCAACAGGAGGAAGGTAACTGTGCCAAGGAACTGTACGTGCAGGAACTGCTGAGTTTGTTGTATGTTTTCAAAATAATTTTTTCAAATAAGGTGAGTTTAGACAACAGAAGACTTGGTCTAGGAAGTTGTGCTTGTTGTATATGCCATTGAGTTGACTCTGATCCACAGTGAACCTGTAAGACAGAGTAGAACTGCCCCGTAGGCTATTCTAGGCTGTAATCTTCATTGGAGCAGATCACCAGCTCTCTTCACCGTGGAGCCACTGGGCAGGTTCAAACCACTGACCTTGTGGTTAGCAGCTGAGCACTTAAGGCTCGTGTCACTAGGGCTCCTCTGATGAGGAAGAGTCTTCCAAAATAAAATGGTTAATGACTGAGAAGTGCTGGGTGGTACAAATAGTCTACGCTCAACTGCACTAACCTAAAGGTTCGTGGTTCAAAGCACCCCAACGGTGCTATGGAAGAGAGACCGTCGATCAGCTTCCATACGTCGATCAGCTTCCATAACAATGACAGCCAAGCAAAGCCCACGGAGCAGGGCTGGGCTGTGGTGCAGGGTCACGTGAGTCAAAATCCAGCCCTGGCAACAGGGTTTCTGGTTTGATTCTTAGTGATTAAGAGGCTGAGTGGTTAAAGCTCGTAGCCTAGCTGTGAATTTCCAGCTCTGACGCTTCGTGGCTTTGTGCGGTTCTGGACCCTGAGTGTCTCAGTGTTCTCATGACAAATGGGGGAACTCCAGCCCTCCTCCCTCTACCCACAGAACTGTCATCGAAGCCTGAATGGAAAAAGACACACAGCAGCAAAGCGGTGACTGCAGCGCCTGAAATGCAGGAAGGACTCAGTGAAAAGCAGGGATTTCTCCCATGTCTTTGGAAATTATCCTGATGCCAAACCCAGGATCCTGGATTGAGGACAGATGGGAGAATGGCCGCGAGGGGAGTCCGTAGGCAGTGTAGCGTCTGCTCTGTGAGCCTGCGGGTGTCAGAGGAGCCCCCCTGCTCACAGCTGAGGGGTGACCTTTGTCCCCAAAGGCAGGCGGGGCAGGCTGGGGTGGCTATGGTGGCATGGCTCACTGCAGAACGGGGCATGGGAGAACACTCTGGTCCCGACCTTACTTGGTTTCCAGGGCCAGGAAGGGGTGCTCTCTGCCGTTGCTCCGTGGCTGGCTCAGCTCCCCGGCAGGGACAGGGCCAGAGCCCTGAGTGGCCCTTCACAGGCACAGTGTGGCGGGCCAGTTGCCTCATCTCCCTCTTATCTAATCTGAATTGTCCCTCTTATCCTTTTCCTAGAAGGACGTGGCCAGGGGTTGGCTTGGCAGAAGGGAGGTGGGAAGGGGCCTTTGTGAAGCAGAGTATGGGGGAACAGAGTGCTGGGTTTCTGGGAGGAGGGACAGTCCATACGCACCTCAAGAGACCCCAAATCATCGTTAAGCTCCCACTTTTTGTTTCTGGTCAACCCTCCATCCCCCCATCCTTCCCCCATTCTCCCATGCCTCACCCATCTCCCCCCGCCTCCATTCTCCAGACCACACCTGGAGCTCACCTCAACTCCATTGTCGCCTCCTCCCTGCCAATCACTGGGACTTGATTTCCTCCTATGAAATATCTCTTCCCATCACCCTGGACTGGCCTCACTCGGTCCACCTTCACCCAGGGTGCTGCTCTGCCTCCGGTCTCCACCGGACCATGTAGACCATGTAGACCGTAGCACCAGCCCCGCCTTTCCTAGACACGGCCTCATCACACAGCCCTTCCTCGGGAGCCCTCCGCACCCTCCCCCCTGAGGCATGCAGTCACGGCTTTTCTTCACGACATCCACGACACCCCAGCTGTGGTTCCAAACCACACTCTCTCCAGCCCTGCAGTCCTTTTTCCCTGACCAGCCAGCCCAGCAGCTGTGCCACGGCCCTGGCGGGTGCCCAAGTAAGCAGGCCTCTTCTTCCACCCTTTGCCTGGAGGGCAACAGAGACAGACACGAACTCCTCTTCCCGGAGACAGGCCACCTCACTGAGACCACGGAGGCCCGTGTGACACAGAGCCATCGCACTGGAGCAGAGACCACGGGGCCCGTGTGACAATGCAGAGCCGTGTGCATCCACACACTCCCTCCAACACTTCGGGAGCACGCTGGCTGGTGGAGGCACAGGGGCTCTGTGCTCATTGGCAGGAGTCTGCAGGGGTGGGGCAGTGTAGGTGCCCATGGTCCCCGTCCTCTCTGGAGAGAGACCCTGTGAAGTTGGCAGAGATAAGTGCCACTTGGCCCCTATGAAAGACACCGCTCTCCCACTGTCGCCGCAGAGCACCAGCAGCCAGGGTGGCCTGGTGAGGGTCTTGTCCTTGTGCCCGGCCCCCACCAGCAGAGCCTCTGTGGCCCTGGTGCATGTGGGAGGGGCGGGAGTGGTGGCATATGAAGCCCCCAGGTATGAGGTCTTTGTCCTGGGATGGGCTAGGCCAAGAGATTGTCCCTGCATAAGGAAGGAAGGGGAGAATCATCCCCCAAAAGCAGAGATCCAGTGAGAAGAGTCTTTGAGGGGCCCTCCCTGCCCCTGACAGCCAAGATAGAGCGGGAGAGGCGCCCTGTCCCCAAGTGATAACAGCTCCACCCGAAGCAAGAGTGTGTCTCTGGGGACAGACGCACCCCTTCTCCGGGATGACAGGGCCAACTGGGGCAGTAGGGAGACCACGTCCTGGGGCAGAGCCAGGGAAATTCCAGGAGAGAGAGCTGGATGGTGCCAGACGGGTGGCAGACAGAAAGACAGACAGTGAGGCCCCTGCGCAGAACCATTTCCTTTGGGCTCAGGAACCTAAGGTGGGAGCAGCGGTGGTAGGTGGGGACACCCTGCCCCTACTTGCAAGTGGGGAGGGTGAGTTTGGCTGGGGGCAGGGGGGAGGTGGTGGGAGGGATGCAATGGTGCAGGCAGGGGTTCGTTCAGAAGTCTGTGTGAGAACACGGGGGTGAAAATGGATGAGGGGCTAAGGGAATGGGGAGAGTGTCAAAATGCCTGAGACAGACCCTTTCCTGAGCTGGCTTCTTTCCCTACCCCAACTCTGTTCAGGTGGTGAGGACCAACCAGGGGGCTGAGCCTGGCCTTGGGATGGGGCCACTCCAGGAGGTAAGTCACCCCCTACACAAGTGTTGGAGCTGGGGTAGAGCCATGGTGTCACCTCCAATTCTACAGGCCACAACCCCCCATCCCCTGTCACTGTGTCCCTGTCCATCCCACTCTGTCCCCTAACTGCCTGCTGTGTTCCTCCCCATCATTGTCTCCTGAGGGAGGGAGAGCCCAGGGGGGTTGTGGAGCACCAGCTCTGTATAGGGGCCCTCACGCTCCCTTATGCATCCTCCCCCTCCCAGTCCCCTCCTGTCCCACAGGAGCCTCTTGCTGAGGGACTGGCTGAGGCAGGGAGCCACCCATGGGCCCTGGTCAGGCGGGTGCTGACAACACTCCTTCTTCTTGGCCTGCTGCTTGGCTCTTCTGTGCTTCTGGTCTACACCTTTGGGAGCTGTGGTCCTCGTAAGCACAGTCAGGGACCCCCGCCAATCCCCCCTCAGCTGTGCACCCTGGTCCATGGATGTATCAGTCCCCCTCACACTGACCCTCTGTTCTGTGCAGATGCCACAAGGGCTCTTGGTCCCAACTCTGTCCTGTGTGACCTGGCCACATGGTCACCATCACACATTTCCTCCCAGGGTTCTCTGTCCCCATGCCTCATCTGCCCCAGCAGTGTGCTTGCTCCTCACAGGCCCCTGTGAAACCCCGGTATGTCTGGACCTCCTGGCTCAGTACCTAGCCTCCAGAAACACCAGCGTGGACCCTTGCTCCGACTTCTACAGCTTTGTCTGCGGGAAGACCAAAGGGAGCATCAACTCCTTTCAGGCACTTGCGGAAGAGAATAGGGTCCGACTCTGGAGAATTCTGGGTGAGGAAAGCAGGGAGAAGGAGGTGACTCCCTGACTTGTGTAGTGTGAATGTCATACCCCATCCTCACTCCTTGGGGCTCCTTAGGAAACAACTGTTGGTCTGCTTCCCGAAGGCCCTCCTCTCATCCACACCTTCTTTCTTCACCTTAGCTTTACTGAATCCCAGTCTCTTTCCAAGTTCTCCCCTTTACCATGTGAGACTGGATCCCAGCTTCATCTTCTCTTGTTATCTCCCCCAAACTTTCTGTGGTTATCCAGGTCTGGTGTCTTCCCTACCAGGCCCTCCTCAGCACCTCTAGCACTTCCTTTTCTCCATCACTCTCATTCTTCAGACCCTCCTTGATGTCCAAAGCCCTTTGGTCAACCTCATCCTCTTCCTCCCTGCACCTCACAGCTCCCTGTTCTCATGATTGCTCCTGCCTCCGCACTGAAACTTGGGCTGAGGCATGCAAGCTAACCTGGAAGAAATGAGGTGATGGGATAAAGGACTGGGGAGGCTGGTGGGATGAAAATAGTGGGGTGAGAAGTGCAAAGGGAGCTGGTTGCATGGTTGGAGGTGCCAGTGGGTGAGGGAAAAAAAAAAAAAAAGACCCAAAGAATAACCTGGAAGAAAAGGAGAATCAAGTTCCAGACCTTGGAGGTAAAGCAAATTGCTGAGGATAGCAATTCTGGAGAGGAGGAGGGGAGAGAAGGGGTGGGGGGTAGAGGAGGCAATGATGCTGAGGATGAGGGCATGTCAAGATGGCATGACAGAGAGATGGGTCATGCACATGGAAGCTGGAAAATGCAAGATGATGTTGAGAAATGAGAGGAAAGATACATGGAAGGAATGAGGTCACCTAGGAGGTTGGGAGTGGGCCCCAGGAAGTTGGTGGAGGGTGGTGAGGATGTGGGAATAAGAAAATATAAGTTAGGCATGTGTTTGCTGAGTGAGGAGCTCTAAAGAAAGTCTTGACAGGGTTATTGGAAACTTGGAAGAAATAAATGTATCCTCTGCTGTCCTCCGTTTGACTGTAAAGAGTGGGCAGGGGCTCACCCTGGATGGAGGGCCATGCTTCCAGTTAAGGCACAGAGATAAGAAGATACACTTAATAGGAGTTCCACTGCCTACAACACAGAGGAGAGATGTCAGGGGGCTGAATGGGAAATGCAAGATACTGGAGGACAAGTGGTTGATATGTTTAAACACATATTAAATGGACACGTGTTTGGGTCATTGTGATGTGGGTGTTGGTTTCCTGGGACCAGTGGGTTGGGAAGGTGGAGTAGGGGAGTCTCCCTTGTTTCTTCTCTTCACAGTCTTTCCACGTGAGTTTTCCTCTCTCTAGTCCCTCAAAGTCCTTTGGTTTCCTGATTTTTTTTTCCCTCTGAATTCTTCATCCATCTCCCTCCTGTCTTTCTTCCAGTTCTACCCTTTCTCCATGCCCCCATTATCCCTGTTTTATCCTTCTTTTTCCATGTCTTTTCTCCATTGTCTTCTTCTCCACACTCCTTTGTCCGGCTCTTATTTTCCATCAAGTTGACCATTCTAAAAGAGGAGTCATCTCATGTTCTCATCTCCCTTCATTGTCTAATCCCCCCTTTTCTCCCCATATTCTCAGAGATTTTCCCTTTCTTTCCTACAAGTTCCAGATAATTCACCTTCCCTGTCTGATCTATATGGGCCCAACTCCTTCAATCCCATTGCATTTTCAATAGCCTCCTATGAGAGCTGAACAATGAGTAATGAAGACTCCAGAAAACATAATGCATTTGAATTGTGGTATTGGTGAAGGTCATTGAATGTACTGTGGACTGCTAGAAGAACAAGCAAACTGGTCTTGCAGGAAGTACGACCAGATTGTCCTTCAGAAGCAAGAACAGCCAGACTTCATCTTTCACACTTTGGTTGTGTTGTCAGAAGGGACCACTCCCCGGAGAAGGATATTAAAACCAAACCAAACTCACTGCTATCGAGTCAGATCCAACTCATAGCGACCCCTCCTTGAGTTTCCCAGGCAGCATCACTAAGGAAGTAGATTGCCCAATTTTCCTTCTGATTATGCTGGGTAAAGTAGAGGGTCAGGGAAAAAAGGGAAGACCCTCAATGAGATGGATTGACACAGTGGCTGCAGTGATGGGTTCAAGCATAATGTTTGTGAGGATGGTGCAGGACCAGGCAGTGTTCCGTTCCATTGTGCATAGGGTCACGACCAGTTGGAACTGGCTCAACAGCATCTAACAACAGCCTTCAATCCCCCTCACTTCCCTTCTAGAGGCCCCGAGAGCCTGGCCCCCTGGTTCTGGGGAGGAGAAAGCCTTCCAGTTCTATAGTTCCTGTATGGACACTGATGCCATTGAGGCTGCAGGAGCCGGTCCCCTCAGGCAAGTTATTGAAGAGGTGAGACCCAGACTCAGCTGCTCTAGACACACAGCGTAGAGGACCACTGCACACCTGTGGGTGCCATGTTTCTCCAGAGGGTAAACCCCTTTCCTAGGGATCCCCAACTTCTAGGAGGGAGATGGCGATGGCAAGGGTCAGGACATAGGGTGAGGAGAGAGAAAGAAGGATTGGAGGTGGAGCCTGGAGGCATCAGCTCAGCAGAAGTCAGGGCATGGCTGCCATCCAAAGCCCACAGGGGCAGGCCATGGAGGCCCCACCTGAGCTGAGCCCTGCCTCTCTTCTTCCCAGCTCGGAGGCTGGCCGCTCTCCGGGAACTGGACTTCCCCCGACTTTAACAGAACGCTGAGACTTCTGATGAGTCAGTATGACTACTTTCCCTTCTTCAGAGCCTACCTGCAGCCTCATCCCACACTTCCACACACACCAGTCATCCAGGTGAGTGCCCGGGCCCTCCCAGTGGATAGCTGCAGTTTGGGAGCTAGGATGAATGTGGACCACAGAGAGAAGCCCTGTCTTCAAGAGAAATGACTGAGAGTCAGGGGTACCAGCTGGGGTGGGGGAAGAAGCAGCAGGCCAGTCCCAGAGACAGTGTAGTCATGGTCTTCCTTCTGCTTATCTGGATGACCTCAAGGGAGACAGAGTAGCTCTGGTCTTCATTACTGCTTATCTGAGTGACCTCCAGGGCCTCTTAACTAGTCTGCCATCTCCTGGGTCAACCTCTTATTTACTTTCCTGTTTTTGCCACAGGGACCTTTCTAAGCAAGAGCTAATTAGGCTATTGTGTAAATGCCTGGAATGGCCTGGAGGTTATCAGAATCCAGGCCCGGATCCTTAGCATTGCAAGTACTTTTATGAACTGACCCTACACCCCTCTCGAGCTCTACCACCCTCCCCCTCATACCCTAAGCTGTGCTGACTCCCTTGTAACTCCAAGAATATGTTTAGCTTCTCTACAGATGGTGCCCCCCCTCTTTTCTGTTTGCAACACAACTTCCCATCTCCCTTGCTCTGCTCAAACCCTCTTAGATATTTTTCCAATGTTGGGTTGGCTATTACCCGTCCCTGGAAGCCTTCAGAGACACCCCGGCTATGAATTAGATGAGCCCCTTCTATCCTTCTGTTTTCCCAGCCTCGCAGCTCAGGTTTGAAAGACCAGGAGACTTTCAAGAACAGAATCACACCTCACTCATTTGTTTCTCAGGACCTAGCAAAGTGCCAGGCATCTAGGGGTTTGCACCAGATTTGTGAATGAGTGAATAAATAAATAAAAACATTGACACAGCCATCAGTACTGAGGTGGGTGGTGCAATGCTATATATTTGACTCCTACTCTACAAAATCCCACAAAGTTGTAAGGAGAGGAATATACAGGTAGAACTGATAAGCAATGCAAGATACTATAAAACCCAGTGCTGAGGAATGCACTCCGGAGTTTGAATGGCTGTGCTCTTTGGGGATTAGTTAAGATCTGAAGTGGTTAGAGGAAGGCTCAGAGGAAAGAGGGCAAAAGTGAGCTGAGGCTGGAAGCTCACTGGCTCACACTAGGTGAGGTTAGAGGGCATTGAAAGGGCTGCAGGAACCCTGAGCCAAGGGAAGAGTACAGAACAGCTGTGAGCAGACTGTGTAGTCAGTGAGGAGATCAAGAGCCTGGGCTGTTTAACAGAGATCTAGGGGCATATGGTGGAGTGGGAGGGAAAATAAGGCTGGGAACGTGAGGTTGAACCAGATTATTACTGGCCTGTTGTTGTTGTTGTTATGTGCCGTCGAGTCAGACCCGACTCATAGCGACCCCTCCTTGGGTTTCCGAGGCAGTATCACTATGGAAGTAGATTGCCCCATCTTCCTTCCGAGGATTGGCTAGTGGGTTTGAACCTCCAGCCTTCTGGTTAGCCGTCAACTGCCTTAGTCACTATGCTACCAGAGCTCCTTATTACTGGCCTAGGAGCCCAATATCCTCACAACTGGACCAATAAGCAACACCATGATAAATGGAGAAAAGATTGAAGCTGTCAGGAATTTCCTTTCACTTGAATCCACAGTCAACACCCATGAAAGCAGCAGTTGAGAAATCAGAAATTGTATTGCAGTGGGCAAATCTGTGGCAAAAGACTCCTTTAAAGTGTTAAGAAGCAAAGACTTCAGTTTGAAGACTAAGGTGAGTATTTTCAATTGCCTCATACACATGTGAAAGCCGGACATTGAATAAGGAAGGCTGAAGAAGAATTGATGCTGAAGAATTGTGTTGTTGATGAAGAATACTGAAAATACCATGGAGTGCCAGAACAAACAATTCCATCCTGGACGAAGTGCAGCCAGAATGTTCCTTAGAATCCAGAAGGGCCAGACTTCGTCTCACCTGCTTTGGTCATGTGGTCAGAAGGGACCAGTCCCTTGAGAGTGACATCATGCTTGGTAGAATAGAAGGTCAGCAGAAAAGGGGAAGACCCTTAACAGGATGGATGATGCAGTGGCTGCAACGATGGGCTCAAACACAGCAAGGATTGTGAGGATGGTGCAGAACGGGGCATTGTTTTGTTCCGTTGGACACAGGGTTGCTTTAAGTCAATGGCACTTAACAACAGCAAAGGGAGCCAGGAAGGAGCCCTGGTGGTGTAGTGGTTAGGAGCTTGGCTTCTAACTAAGCTCCAGCAGTTTGGACCCACCAGCTGCTCTGTGGAAGACATCTGTGGTAATCTGCTTATGTAGTGTTAATAGCCTCAGAAATCCTATGGGATAGTTCTCCTCTGCCTTTAGGGTCATGATGAGTCAGAAGCCATTAAACAGCAATGGGTTTGCTGGGGTTTTTGGTAAGAAGTCCTTGTAGCACAGTGGTCAAAGTGTTGTCTGGTAACTGAAAGGTTGGCAGTTCCAACCACCAGCCATTGTGAATGAGAAAGATGTGACAGTCTGCTTCCATAAAGATCATCATTGTTATGTGCCATCCAGTAGATTCTGACTCATACTAACCCTATTGAACAGGGTAGAATGGCCCCATTGTGCCAGCAGGCTTCCTTCCACATAGATTACAGCCTTAGAACCCCTGCGGGGTGGTTCTAATCTGTTTTATTCCTGTAGGGTCACGCTAAATTGGAACTGAATTACCTGCAACAGTTTTTTTTGGAGGGGTGGGGGTGGGGGAGGGAGGAGGCAGAGGTGATAAGATTTAGCCTAGTAGAAGGAAGAGCTAGGAAGGTTCCAGTGTGATGGCGGCTGTGCTGTGTAGGGCATGCATAACTCTTGGAGGCCAGCTAGAGGTGTTGGGGAGTCCTGGTGAGCAGCTCTGTGGTTCTGAACAAAGGCAGCTTGTTCAGATTTGTACAGATTTGTTTGGTTTGTGCAAAAGGAAAGGAAGGGCCAGGCATGAGGATCTGGGAAGCTTTATCCTAGCAGTGCTGGTGCTGGTGGTCCTGGAAGGACTTGGTGATGGAGAAGTCACACATCAACCCCACAGTTTTGATTTGGTGTCAGTAGGGGGAGGTGGTTACCGTCAACTTGAAACTGGATGGAGCCAACCAGAAGACTATGTAGAGAGAAGAGTTGGCAGAGGGAGCCCTCAGGAAGAGTCCAGGTCGAAGGGAACCAGAGAGAGTAGGAACAGTCAGAGGTGTGGGGGGGAGACCTGCATGGATGGTCAGATCGGACAAAGGAAGAGTTTCAGGATCAAGCAGATATCATGGATTTCAGTGGCTTCTGAGCTTATAGAGAATAGGGAATGAGAAACACCATTACAAGCCTTCTAGAGATAGTTTCAAAATGGTTCTGGGAATGGACACAGATCACAGGAGCATATGGGGAGGGTGAGGAAGTCGACCCAAATGGACTCAGTGGACTCAAACATGCCACTGATTGTGAAGATGGCCCAGAACCCAGCCACGCGTCACCCTACCATGCATGAGGTCATCATTGTGAGGCAAAGCCAACTCTACAGCAACTAGCAACATCAGGAAGGACATGGAGGCCTGGCCACAGGTACCTTTTCAAAAAAAGCTTAGACATACAAGATTCCAAAAGGGATTGCGTGAAGATTTTTTGAAGACAGAGGGAAAGGGCATGGCTCCAAGAGGGAGCGGGACACTGCAATTGGAGAAAGAAATGTGGGAGAACAGAATGAGGGGCAAACAGGGCCAGGACCAGCACCAGCTGCCAGGTGAGCTACTCGCCTGGGTGCAAAACTTAGGAGGGTGCAAACAAATTTAAGAACGAAGAAAAATCATATGTTTGGAAATAGTTTTTAAAAGTGAAATCAATACAAAAATCCATAATGAGCAAAAGATAAAAATTTTGTTGATTGTGGATAATTTTTAATCCATTTTTTTCCCCAAAATGGATAAACAAAAAAACTGATTGTGGAGTTTTAGAAAATCCATACAGCTTTAAAAAATATGGATCAAAAATGCATTTTGGAAAATTTAAAGCATTTCATGACAGAAACGTTGGTATTTTATTCATCACAAATTTGTGCATTCATTTTCATTTTTAAAACATTTCCATTGGAAGGGTTATCTTAGTTCCTGAGTTTTACTGCACCCTCTTGAGTTTACAGCTGAGAGGGGTGTCTCACAGTCTCGTCCTGGTCTTGGCCCTTTAGGACACTGTCATGTGTCCCTCCTGGAGCACCCCCACTTCTCTGTCCCTCTCCGTGTCTGGACTTTCTCCCCATGCCCTGCCCCCATCCCTCCTTCCTTGAGCTGGATCAGCCCAGGCTTATCTCACCTCCCAGGCCACCCCTTCCCACTCCCTCCCTCCTCCTCTACCTTGTTCTAGACTCTCCCCCATGCCCTCATCTCCATCCCCCCTTCCTTGTGCTCCATCCCTCTCTGCTTGCTGTACCCCACCTCCCAGGCTGTCCTTGTCCCTCCCTCTCCTCCATTTTCCTGGGCTCTACAGTCTCTCTTGTTTCCAGATAGACCAGCCCAAGTTTGATGTCCCCCTCAAGCAGGAGCAGGAACAGAAGATCTACGCCCAGGTAAGACAGGTGGACGAGGACGCTGAGAGCACGTGCCGGGAGGCAGGCCTGCCCGCAGTGTTTGATGATGGCTTCCACCCCCTAGATGGTGAGGGAGTACCTGAACTACCTGAACCAGTTGGGCCTCCTGCTGGGAGGGGCCCCTGACAAGGTGCAAGAGCACGCTGGCCTGTCCATCTCCATCACTTCCAGGCTCTTCCAGTTCCTGCGGCCCCTGGAGCAGCGGCGGGCACAGGTGGTCACGATTGCCCAGCTGCAGGTGCCTGGGACCAGGGGCTGGAGGGTGGGCTGAGGGCCTCTCCCCTGCCCTCCTGCCTTCCTGTCCTCCTCCTGCCCTCACTGCCCTCCAGAGCCTGTCTCTGGCCCTCCCTCTTCCCACTCCCTTTCAAACCCTCGGAAAGCCCCTCCCCTCCTCCCTGCCCTTTCTCTGCTCCCCTCAGCTTCTGTGTCCCCACCTCAAGGAAATGGCGCCTGCCATCGACTGGTTGTCCTGCTTGCAAGCCATGTTCACGCCCATGCTCCTCAGTGCCTCACAGCCCGTCGTGGTCCACGACCTGGAGTATTTGAGAAACATGTCACAACTAGTGGCAGGGCTGCAACTCAGACACAGGTTGGCCCCGTGGGGTTAGGGGTGAGGGAAGGGACAAGAGGCGGAAGGACCTCAGAGGTGCTCCTCCTCCACCACTCCCAGACCAGCCCCTGCTCAGGGAAGCTCTTCTGGTTTGGGGGCATGTCCGAGCACTGATCCTCATAACAGCTGAGGAGACCTGAGGGTGTTAGATGGTAGGGGGATGACCGAGGAGACCTGAGGGCCTGGGGTAGCACTAAGAGGACCTGCAGGCCCAGGATGTTGCCAAGGGTACTGCTGAGACCACCTTTGGGACCTGAAGGGCGGGGGGACCCATCCGGATTCTTCTTACTAGAGGTGCAGGTGCGGCGTCTCCCTCCCACAGGGAATTCCTGCAGAGTCACATGATTCTGGGACTGGCGGGCTCCCTCTCTCTTGCCCTGGACAGCAAGTTCCAGGAGGCCCACCAGGAGCTGAACCAGAGGCTGCGGGAGTGGATGGAGCGCCCCCCTGTGGTAAGGAGGAGGGGCCTTCTCCCCAAGGGGCAGCTGAGGGCTACCTGCCATCTGAAGGCTGGCGTGTCCGGGGGCATGGGGCAGACGCCCTTCCTTGTCTGAGCTCCTATGGGAGCAGGAAGCTCCGACGTGCAGGGGTTGTTGTGTGGCCCCTGGGCCCACAGTTATCTCCGGCCTTTGTCTGAATATGGTGGAGTGGACACTCAGCCATGGTGACCTCATGTGTGACTGAACTAAATGCTGCCCGGTTCTGTGCCATCTTCACAATGGTTGGTCTGCTTGGGTCCAGTGATGCCACCACTGTGTCCTTTGAGTGTCCTCTAACCTAGAGGCCTCTTCTCCCAGCACGAGATTGAACAGCGTTCTGTTGGGATCTGTAAGGTCCTCTTTGGCTGACTTTTGGAAGTAGCTCACCAGGCCTTTCCGCCTAGCCTGCCTTAGTCTGGAAACTCGGCTGACACCTGTCCAGCATCTGTCAGAGTTACCTAAACCAAAACCAAACCAAAGTCACTGCTCTCAAGTCGATTCAACTCACAGCGACCCCTCCTTGGGTTTCAGAGGCTGTATCACTACAGAAGTAGATTGCCCATCCTTTCTTCTGAGGAATGGCTGGTGGGTTCAAACCACCAGCCTCTGGTTAGCAGTCAAGTGCCTTAGGAACTACACCACCAGAACACCCCATAGTTACCTAGGGCTGTTATAACAGAAATACGACAGGTGAGTGGTTTTAGCAAACAGGAATTTCGTTTAGGAGGCTACAAGTCTGAGTTCAGGGTGCCCACTCTAGGGGAGGCCTTTCTCTGTTGGCTCGGGGGGGAAGTCCTTATCTCTTTTCAGCTTCTGTTTCTTGGCTCCTTGGAGATCTATGTGGTATGGCATCTGTCTTCCCCCATCTCTGTGGGCGATCTGCTTTTCTGCACCTCAAACGAGAGTGAAGTAAGACACACCCTACACTACCACTGTCTTGTTAACAGAACAAAGAAAACTCTATTCCCAAATGGGATTATAAACATGCACAGAAGGTATCTTTGGGAGACATAATCCAATCTATAACAGCTTCCTACCAAAAAAAAAAAAAAAAACCAAACTCACTGTGGTGCAGTCCAATCTTACTCATACAGACCCTCTCCTTAGGCTTCTGAGGCGATTCGACGGCAAATAACAGCAACAACAACAAATCTCTACGGAAGTAGATTGCCCAATCTTCCTGCTGAGGAATGGCTGGTGGGTTTGAACCACCAGACCTCTGGTTAGCAGTCAACTGCCTTAGGCACTGTGCCACCAGACCTCCTAACAGCATGGCTATGCGTGAGGTGCATCAGCTGGGAAGTGAACTTGGGACTCCCGCATGGAAGGAGAGAATCCACTCTCCTTCCCACTCAAAACCTCACTGATTAGTAGTAAAATGCCTTAACCACTACACCACCAGGGTTCCTATTCTTCCCACTCAGGTCTGTAATTGTCCTTTGGCTTACGCTCCAAGTCTAAGTCTGCCCACAACAGTTGGGTGGCCTTGGGGAAGCCATTCCACCTCTCTGGAACAAAACATGCCGCACAGTGGTGATAATAGTGGATAACAGTGAGTAGGGACCTGGTGAGCACAGCACGAAGCACTCACGATGGACGATTTTACTTAATCACCAGAAGCACTATGAGGTTTTTGATCCCATTTTGTGGATGCAGACGTAGGCTCAGAAAGGCCAAATAACTTTCCCAAGACCACACAGCTCATAAAGGAAAGAGCTAGGGCTCCAGAGTGGATCTACTGGCTTCCAAGGCTGAGCCTTAACCACTCATTGGATAGAACTGAGATAGAAGTGGGGACCAGGGGAACAGCTCATGGTACAAACTGTCTAGAAAGATTGGGGTGGTAAATATTGTTGGCTTTGCGGTTCACATGTTCTGCTGCGAGTACTCACCTCTGTCCTTATTGCATGGAAGCAGCCCCACACTGTGTGACTGATGACACAGCCGAGCTCCACAAAGCTCTGGTTTAGATGGTAGACATCCTCGGAGCTCCCAGTGGGGAGAGATCGGTCAGGGTCCTAATGAGCAATGCAGAAGGAAGGACTGGAGAGGTGTTTAGAGAGGTGCCAGGGGTTCCTGGCAAAAAGGGACAGCGAAGGGAGCAGGCTGGCTCCTGGCAAGGAAGGACAGCACAGGGAACAGGCTGGCTCAGACTCAATGTGGTCTGAGGGTCTGTCTGGGTGCGCTGGCTGAGAAGCAATGGTTGGATTCCTGGAAGGCTGCACCAAGGCTGCTGCTGGAGATGTCTGTGCGTGCAGCAAGGAGGCTGGTGTAAGGAACAGTGCAAGTGAATAGGACAACAATAAGGAGGACCTCAGAGAGGGAGGAAAGGGACCATTGGGGGCTGGGGATTGCTCTAAGACCATTTGCTTTTCTCTGCATGAAACAGGGAGCTTGAGCAGGACGTGTCAGCTATGTGGTTGAAGAGGAGCACTCTGGGAACAGACTCTGGGGAAGGCTAGAGTAAGGGCGAATGCTGGGATTAATGCAGTAGAGATGGCAGCGCTGCCTGGAATGGTGTCCTGTGGGGGCACCAAGTGGTTCGATTCAGGGTGTATTTTGCAGGTAAGCCATAGAACTTCCTGGTGGATTGTGGCTTTGGAGGAAAAGACCAAAGGCCCATGGAGCTTCACTGGACTAGAATGGTCAGTTCTAGCCAATGGCCAACAATCACAGGTCCTTGAGCATTCTCTTATGAATAAATCTTAATTGTTAGGTTCTTACTCAAAAGGACTTCACAGTCTCATGACTCAGCCAT